TTTTTTGTGTTTTGGTTATGTTTTCATATATTGTATGTAAATTCAATTAATTTAGGTGTGAATGCAGCAGGTCCTAGTACCCAATTTGCAGCAGTCCATGATGATGGTGATGAAATGCAAAGTGATGTAGAATATAGTTACATTTCTACTGTAGAAGATGATGGAAGTGATGCTGATCATGCTTCTAGTAAAAGAGCTACACACGTTGTTTATGAAGAAGTTGAAGATGCTTTTCCAGATATAAGGTTGAGGATGATTTTTGTGAGCAAAGCACATTTTAAAGCTACTGTTGACAGATGCAACACGATGCAAAGGAGGGATATTAAATGGAAGAAGAATGACAGCAAACGGATTAGGGCTGTTTGCAAACATGCCCCAAGCTGTGATTGGAAAATACTATCATCAAAGGATGCGGTGACGGATTCTTGGATGGTGAAGACATATATTCATGAGCATACCTGTGGTGAGGAGTTGACAAGTAAGAGATTCAACTCAACAAGTGCATCAAAGTATTTGGTTAAAAAGATGGGTTTTGCTTCTCTTTACTTAAAAGCAGATGACATTTTTCAAACCATCTAGAGAAACACTGGGCTGGACTTAACTGGAAAACAATGCAAGAAGGCAAGAGAGAAAATTGCCCATGTGTTTGAAGGAAATTGTTTGATGGAATATAGTAAATTGTGGGACTATGCTGCTGAGCTGAGGAGAAGAGATCCAGCAACCACAATTCTCATTCAGGCACTAAGGCCAACAACAAATGCAAATCTTATTTTCATGAGAATGTATGTATGTTTCAACGCTATGAAACTTGGATTTGTTGCTGGCTGTAGGTGTGTAATAGGGGTTGATGGAGCTTTTCTTAAGGGAGCATATAAAGGAGTTTTGCTAGTGGCAGTTGGACGGGATGCCAACGATCAAATGTACCCATTGGCATGGGCAATTGTCAAGGTTGAGAAGACAGAGACTTGGAGATGGTTTTTAGAAGAACTGCAATCAAATATGCAAATTGGCAGTGGCAATAGATTCACATTTATATCAGACCAACAGAAGGTTATTGCTAGCTTTGTTTCTTTGTTTTAACTAAGGTTCCAACTTGATCCCTGTACTTTTAAAGTGCAGGGACCAAGTTAGGACCTTCTGTTGTAGTAATATTTTATTTTTATCCAATTGTCTGGCATTTAATACGTTATAATGTGCATGACAGGGGCTACTAAATGCAATTAAAGAGCTGTTTCCAGATGCTGAACATAGAAGATGTGCAAGACACGTATATGCCAACTTCCGAAAGGATAACCGAGGCAAGGAGCTACAGAGAGCATTTTGGAAATGCGCAAAGGCAACCACTGAAGTTGATTTCATTAAGGCATTGGGTGAATTGACCAACATTAAACAAAGAGCTACGGCTGCAGTCTTAAAAGTACACCCACAGTTTTGGTCGAAGGCATTCTTCAAGGAAGACAGTAAGTCAGATGTAGTTGACAACAATATGTGTGAAGTTTTTAATGATTTAATTGTTGATTCAAGGCACAAGGCTATTTTCTCAATGCTTGAAGATCTTAGGATGATGTGTGGTAGGAGGACTGTTGCTAGAAGGACATGCAGATGAGAAGTTTGTTGGTGATTTTGGTCCTAAAATATGGGAGAAGATTGTTGCAAGTAGGGAAGGAAGCAAGAGATGCAGGGTGCTATGGCCTGGTGGCGTTGGTTATGAGGTTGAAGAAGAAGACAAGGGTAAATTTATTGTTGATATGAACATGAAGACTTGTACTTACAGGTGCTGGAACATGACATGCATACCTTGTAAGCATGCTGTAAGTGTCATTAAATTGAGGAAGGAAAAAGATGAACACTATGTAAGCCACTGGTATAGCAAGCATATGTTCTTGGCAAGTTATGAATATGAAGTTCCTTGTATTGAGGGGATGCCACAGTGGAAGGAAACTAGAATGCCCCTAATTCAGCCACCATTGCCTAGGAAAATGCCAGGCCAAGCAACAAAAAAAAAAGGGTGTTAGAAGAATGGGAAGGGCAAACATCACTCTCTAGGAAATGAAGGGTGATGACTTGTAAAAAATGCTTCAAAAGAGGGCACAATTCAAGGACATGTAAAGGACAGCCTCCTAACACTGTAAGTACTAATATTTGACAACTTAAGAATTCTGTAAAGGATTTTTATATATGTAAAATGTTACAAATTATGTTTGTAATTACTATTATTATTTTGACAAATTGATTTTACTATTATTTAGGAAGCTGGAAACAATGAAGCTTTTGAAGCCACTGAAAACTTGAATGATAACAACCCAGTGAGCCAAGCTGATGATCCTGCAAGTCAAATGGTTAATGAAGAAAGAAGACCTATCCAGGAGCGAAGAACCAGAGAGAAGAGGAAAAGAGAAAAGAAATCTGGTAATCAAAGGCCTATCGTGGTAAGGGCTGTTTATATTTTAAATTCTTGTTTGCTTTTATTATTGTTTATTTCATAATACTAAAAATCCTCAATGCAGCAGGAAAAAAGTTCCCAAACAGCAAAGACCAAGAAGAGGCAAAAGAAAGGATCAACCTCATCAACTACTAGACCAAGGAAAGGTGGACGGTCAGGTGCTAGGGGGTGAAGGTGTTGATGGTTGTGTGTTTTTGCCATTTGAAGTTGATTGGTGCATTAGAAATGAAGCCTTTTTTTGTTTTTTGTCATTTAACCTATCATTACATGTAAACTTAGACAACTTCATGCGAATTCCTGTTTTGTATATGGTGTATATGCTGTTGTGCATATGATGGCTTCATGGAACAGGTTGTATGTATATTGGTACACCTTTGATATCCAGAGTGATGTAAATGGTGCAAATATTTTGGATTTAACCTTTTGGAATCAAAAATTGTTCTTGACTAAAAAATCTTGTGTTTTGATTGAGAATTACATTTTGCTATGTATTTGCTAGTATGAAATTAAACTTGTACAGTGAATATATCAAATTAATAGACCATGTGCCCTTTATATAGGGAACAAATTACATTCCTTTTACATAAAAAGGCAAAAAGGCAAATAATGCACAAAAGACACTAGTCCCATCCTGTCATTTTCCTAGTTTTCCCAACAATGTTAATGCAATCTATGCAATCCAATAAACACAGAAACAAGAAGACAGACAATGCAAACCACACAAAATATTTGACAACTTATAAGTACTCTGACACATATCTTCTCACTCCTCTTCACTTTCTTCTCCAAGCCTTTGATATTCTTAACAAATGCCTCACATTGGACCTTCAAGTCACCATTTTCGGTGAGGAATTTCCCATTTTCGGACATCAAGTTTGCATTTTCCTGCAACAGTTTCCCTTTTTCAGCCATAAGATTTTCGTTTTCTTCCTTGTAACTTTGAATCTCTTTCTCAAGCCTAATTTGCTTATCTTTAAGTCGCAGCAAGAGATCCTTGGCTCTTTCCTCAATCACCTCATCACCATCAAGAAAGTGGAAGAAATCGCATGCATTCCCAACCTTCCCAACCTAAATAGCATGAAATTAGTAGTTTAGGGTTTTTTCAAAATTTTTTGTTCTAAACATGAACAGCTCACCTCGAATTTAGGACATCCCCAAAATCTTCTTCCCATGTTTTGGTAAGTCAATGACGTTCTCAAAACAGCATCCAAACCGCACTTGCAAACATATTATTTTCCAAGAAAGCTGCTAGTTGATGCAGAATCAGTGAACGAGTTGCTTCGCGAAAGCTCACCCTCCATTTTGAACGAAAAAAGAAGAGTTTCAAAAGCAAGAAGATGATTTCTCAAAAGCAAGAAGACGATTTCTAGACAGGGAACTGGAAAAAAAAATTGAAGAATTTAAGGTTATGTTCTGGTAGGGTTCAAGGACAATCGACTTATATTTACCGCGTATTTCAGAATGTGAGTCCCCTTGTTTATGGTTTTTTTCCTTTTCCCACGCGGGAGAGTGACGTAGAGTGTGACGTGGAAGGTGTCAAAAGTCCACGTAAGTATTTTTACATGTTGGCATACCCACGTCAGCCGTTCCAGTTAAGTTAACGTGCCACACAAGCAAAAATTGACGGAGTGACTAAAAAGGGATCGAATTTTAAAATTTAGGGATTAAAAAATGAATTTTTTCGGTACAGGGACCAAAAATGAGCTTTTTCCTATAGTAAAGGGACCAAAAAGGGTATTTAACCTTTTATAAATGAGAGAATAAAAATAAAACTTGATAATAACAATTACCTTAACTTTCCATTAAAAATGAAAAGAACATTTTCTTTTAAATAAAACATTATTTCTCTCTTTAAAGAGAATAAACTATTGAATCCTATTACAAATGATGAAATTAAATCCTTAAATATGGTCTTCATAATTTGAAAAGTTTTGAAGCTGCAAACTATGATTGGGATGTGAGGAAGAGCTCAACAAAATGGTGAACCTAAAATAACAACATATATTTTTAAAAAAATCAATGTTTTATTCCAGAACTAAATGTAACAAATTAATAAAATGAAATTCAAATGGAAAATACAAAACTAATATTATGAAGAGACATTATACACAGAAGCAAAGTAGACATGCACAATATTAATTTGCTAATTTTAATGAAAAACGATGCTCAATTATTTTTTTTTTTAGTTGTCTCAACTTGAGCTTGCATAAGATTAGTTTTATTTTACTTTATGTTCACAGCAATGTTCTCCCCATTATGCAGTATAGCTTGGTGCAACAAGAGGGTAAAAAAAAAAAAACTTCAAAATTCATATTAATGAAGACAAGTATCTCCACTTGAAATTGTGAATTATATGACAATTATAAGCTACCATCATTTGTGACTGGTCAGTCCACAATTTGAATTAGAAGCATAAGTGACTTAACTTCAAATTGATGTGAGCAACCTAATAAGCATGGGTGCTTCTGTCCATTCTTTTAGAAAGAGAGCATAGGGTGTTGGCCTTTATTTTATTTTATATCTTTAAGGTTAAACCAAAAAGGAATAGTGAATATGAAACAAACACCAGCCCAAGACTACTGTTGCAATTGGTCAGTTCCCCAACCCCTTAAATACATCACTTCGACAAGTCACACGAAACGAACACAATTAGAAGATTATTATTTGCTCCACCCCTCAACCCCAAAAAATCAACAAAGCACCATTTAACATCCCATGAGATTAATCAAATAAATCCTAGTTAACAACTAGGTAACTCTTTTACAATGCCCAGGAAATAGATTATATATTCAGACAATATCATTACAGAGTTTTGAGGTTACAATAAAAAATCAAATAAACTTTAACATTAAAACATGAATACATCCTATCTACCAATGCATCTTCAATTAGGACAAGAGCAGTAGTTTCCTGATTTTATCTTTTTACATCAATTTTTAGCCCTGAAACACAGTCAAATGAATCCAAATTCATATTACATCTTAAAAAAAAAAAAAAATACCAAGATCTCAAACTGAATTAAAATAAACAAACAATAGCTCAATGACTACAAATGAAACAGGTAATAAAATCCGTTCTCAAGACCCATTTCCAGTTCTACAATATCGAATGACTACAAGGACAACAGTATACATAATGAAGCAAAAGAGAATTTCAGCTGCATCCATTATAGTATAAAGGGATCAACTATAAATTTGTATTACACAAAGGGAACAGTGAGCTGGTCGAATCCATACCTTTTGGGGCCATTAGTTTGCTTCACCGATAAACCCTTACCTAAGAGAACACAACAAATGAAAAACGTCAATTACATTGGAAGAAGGTATTTCTCGAAATGAAACTACAAGCTACAAGAAGTTTATGGAGATCTCCATATCATCACCAATAAACTACCTCTCCATAAATGACTCGATCGTTGGAGCTTCATCACAGAGAAGCTATCTTATTGCAGAGAAAGATGTAGAGAATGAGCAAAGAATTTGAAATTTATTATCAAATTCATAGGTATGAGAGGATATTTAAAATACATGCTATTCAGTTTTTGAAATACACAAGTTAAAATACATGTATTTAGATCAAATATACTCATATTTTATAAAAACAAACAGTGTATTTGATTTTATAACTGCAAATTCAAATACACTCTTCTCAAATTCACATTCCCAAACACAGCATATGTGAATTTCAAACATTGAAACATCATCCCTCGCTCTTGAGAAATTTCATTATAATAAAAACAACAAAGCAAGCCAAACAAGAAATTAAAACAGCCACACTAACCGAAGATAAGGCAATCTGTATATAAAATTATTAAGTTCAAATACATCCTTCAATGCAAAAAGATTTTACATTTTAAAAATGCACCTAACTCATGATTTATATAAATGTAGACCATTATTACAGCAAAGCAGTGTTATACAGAGAAACAAGGCAGGGAGACTTTGAAAAGCCTAAGGTTAAAAATGCATTCCAATTTACCAAAGATTCCAAGCCATCCATAGCTCTATATTTTCTCTCCCTTTATAAAGCAAGGTGGAATTATCCTCCAAATTATGAAGTTTTCATGCTAATAGAAAACAAAGCCACAGGATTGCAAAACATAAATATAAGAAAACAGAGCACTACTGCAATTGAAATAATTAGGCACCAAAAAACGTCTTATGCGAAACACCACAACCAGTACCCACATTGCATTCTTCTAAGCAAAATCAGGGAGAGCTCAAGAAATAAAGCACAGATTCTCCAATAAAAAATCACGATTTACAAATTACTTATAACAAACTCACTCTCCAAAAATAGAAACAACAAATTAAAAATAGAAGAAAAATGCGAAAATGGCAGAGTACATGACACAAATTCTTCTGACATGAGCAAGTAGAAGAAGAAATAGTAATAATCAATAAAAAAATATTCAAACAATCTTCAATCAAAAAGAAAAGAAAGGGGAGCAATGGGAGCTACTAGTGGCTTTGCAGATCTGGTAGCAATGAATCGTCAAGCTCATCGCGGTTTCACGGTAACTAACAACAATTAGGGATTTTCGAGGAGAAGACGAGGATTATCGCAGTGGTTTGGGCGGTCCTTGGCGGTTGTCGATGATCATCACATGGCCCAGATCTACAAGAATACAAGGAACGAGAAGGGATTTTCAGTTAAAACTATCATCAACTCACACTACCAACCAACAATCATCATTCATCACACCGTTGACTGAAGGTGGGGATTTTTTGGTCTATTTTGGAAGAAGATGGGCAAGAAGGCAGGGAGAAGAAACACAGGATTTGGTTGCTTCAGAAAGAAAGAAAGAAATGAGAGTTATGAACCGTATATACATTGGTTTTTTTTAAAATAAAAGGAAGTGTGAGGATAAAATGGGAATATCATGCCAATTTCATTAATTCTGAAGTGAGAAGCTTCCGCGGAAGCACAAAATTGGTGCTTCCGAAATTTGCAAAGAAACGTGAAGAAGACCAACTTCTGGGAAGTTGCAGCACATTCAAAATCAAGCACAAACTGTAGGCCGAAAAAAGAAGTACAAACTACAAATGGGCCTGGCCTTTGCACACCATCAATCCTGATCCATCAGTTAAACCTCATAGCCTCTTTCCGTCTTTATAAGTCGGCCCAATTTTGTTAACACATCTAGCACAAAACTTCCATCACCTTCCCGCACAAATTTCCGCCCAAATCTTCCGATTCCCTATATTTGTCGTCTCACCATTTTCAAAATTCTCTCTCCCGCAGACTCACTCTCCAACCGTCTCGCTTCCCTTTCTTGCCGGCGAGAGCGTCAACGATGATCAAGTTATCGCGCTCTTTGCTCTCCAGGTAACATCTTTTCAGCTAAAAACCCTTGGTATTCTTGTTTTTTCTGTTTGGTCGCCGAGAAAGTGTGTTTTATTTCCCTGTTTGAGGTCCGGGAAAATGGAGGAAAAGGGAGGGGAAATAGAGATATGATTATCAGGTTTTAAGCCCTGAGGAAAGAAAATGAAGCCCCTGAGTCTTAGATTTTTCGGTTCTTACTCATTTTTTAAGTTTGAGGAAGTCAGCCAAGCCCTAATGCTTCTTTTTAGTGAAAATATTAGCTTTTATTTGTTTAAATTTTAGGTTTAAACTAAATTTTCATTATACTACTCTCCTATGAACTGGAAAGTTAGGGTTTTTTTTTTTTTTTTTGGTACATAAAGATAAAATATTTTCATGAAAACTAAGAAAATGCTTAATGCTACTGAGTCTAACATATCCAAGTACTGAATTTTTGTCCTATTGCGCCATTAATTCTAGCATTATGAAGTTTATTTTGGGTCCACTTTTGTTAAAACAGGAGCCTTCCTTCTGAAATATCTGGTAAATCTGGTAACATTAGAGACGCTTTGAGGTTGCATTCCTTTACATCCCAGGCTGGCATTTCAACTGCTGGACATGATTTTTCTGCTAAAGGTGTTACTTAATCCATTTTTGTTGTTTCTTCTTGAAGGGCGATTCATGTGTCATTTTCATGGTCTCTTGAATATGAATTTGCAGGTGATTCCCCTGCTCGAATCTTTGCTCCTTACACCATATACAAGGGAAAAGCTGCACTTTCTGTTGTTCCTATTCTACCAACTTTTACTAAATTAGATGTATGCCAAAAATTTTTAGCTTTGTATAAATATTAAATGTTCATTATTGCTGTTTAATCTGATCATTTTTTCTTTTATATACTAAATTCTTTACAGTCTGGAGATGTTAGAGTTCAACGCAGTGGTGTCATGATGTTGACCTTCTGGCCTGCTATTGGTGAGCGCAAATATGATTGGGAAAGGAGACAGGTGAATTTCATGGTCTTTTACTCTTTCTCCAGACCGCCATCTTTCAACCCCCCCTTAGCCCTTACCCCTTTTCAGCTTTAATTCAGCCACCTAAGGATAGATTTTTACTACCTGCATTTTTGGCACTTTGTTCTAGATTGGCTACCTTTTTTATGCTAATTCCAGTGCTCAAGTTAGCTGTTTTTCTCTATTTATTTTTGCCTATTTGAAGCATAATTTATGTAAGAAAAGAATGAAGCATACAGTTTCTGTCAATATGCGTTACTTTTTATAATTTGTTCTGTGCTGTGAATTGTGTGAATTATTTGGTTTAATGAGGATTGTGTGTTTAGTAATACTGTTCTCTCTCTGACTTCCCCTTGAAATTTTCTCACCTGTTTTCTGCCAGAAAATTACACAATGCTTATTCTTAAACCCCAAGCATATCCTTCATTAGTTTTAAATTTTTTCAAAACTTGTTTTAGGAATAAGCCCGAACACCTTTCTCTAAAGCATTAAGCATCTTAAAAATTCCCAGTTTCCATCTTTAACACCCCAGAAGATTAATGTTGATAGGTTTATCAATTTCTATTATGTCATTCCCTCCCCAATCATATTGCATGGCTGACTGGTTTTCTTTACATTTTGCAGAAGTTTGCTTTGTCACCAACAGAAGTTGGGTCTCTCTTAAATATGGGACGCCATGATTCCTCTGAATTCTTTCATGATCCTTCTATGTTGACAAGGTTAATTTCACTTTTTCATTTTAGTTTCTAGTCTCTGTGTTTTTGAGATTATCTCCAAAGTTAATTTACCTTAGGAAGGGAATGACATATAAGCTTTGATATCTTTGTCATTTCATTATTGCATATTTTCTTTGATGCTTAGCTTTTCTACATGCAATTTATGCTACAGCAATGCTGGTCAAGTGAGGAAGAACTTATCCATCAAGGCAATTGATGATGGCACTGGCTATTTTTTCAGTTTGAGTAAGTAACCTATCATTATAATATCATATGTCCTATATTTGGTTTCAAATTTGAATCTCTTAAAACATATTCATTATTAAAATTTTTGCGAAATATGATAGCTGCTAAAATTGTCTGAAAGTTTAGTATTGTTGCAGATCATGTTTGTGGAATTGATACTAGAAAGTAAAGGGAAGATATAGCAATTTAGAAAAAAAAAAATTTTAATATCATTTTCAGTTGTGCTTACCAAATTGCAAAGTGCAGATGTTTAGTGCCATAATTCAGGTTATGCCTAGTTGCCTTCAAATGTGATATTCACTTGAAGTTACAAAACTTCTTGCTCTTTGTCATTAAATAGTTTGCTGATTACTTCACATGGCAGTTGTTTGTCAGGTCTATATGATCATTCCAGCCTCATATACTGTAGTTAAATTCTCTAGCATATGATATTTCTTTTCTTGAGTGTTTAATTCAGGTAAAATTTGCATCACGAATATCGTCTATTTGGTAATCTTTTTAACCTTCCAACTCATAAATGTTACACTCTTAATTCAAGATAGCACCTGCTTCCAAATCTCCTCAAGCTTGAATAATTTTTATAAAAGAAATGTTCAGTTGTCTATGACTCTATGCGCTTTTGAAGTGTCGTTCTCATCATCTGTCATAGATGGCAGCAGGATGGCTGGGTGCAGTGTGCCTGCTGCCATCTGTGACACCTAAGAAGAATTAAAACAGGGAGGAGGAGGAGATTAGGTTGCTTTGAAAATAATTTACTCTCAGGCAATAGTAGGGAGACAAATTAGCAGGTTAGAAACAGCATCCAGCATATCTAATGTGACTAGCACAAAAAATAAATGCTTACAAGCATCCAAACGTCAGATGCATTCAAGAGATGAAATGCAAACTATACTATTAGACAAGGGTTATACAGTAAGGAATGAGTGAAATATCATTATCTTTTTTAGGTTATGAAAATGCTTCATTTGCTTGGAGTAGATATTGAAATTTTCATATCTCATTTTTATCTCTTTACAAAACAACTTTTCATTTGCAATTTATTTCTTATTATTTTCCTGTGTTTGCTTTCCAGATGTTCACAACAACATCTTAAAGTCCAATGAACGCTTTTCTGTTCCTATTACAGCTGCTGAGTTTGCAGTGATGAAGACAGCTTGCAGTGTATGACATGATAATTGCCTAGCTTTTTGTGCTTGTTCTATTATGTGAACCATTTATTGTTCGTTTTTATTGATAAGGACTATAGTGAGATATTGTTCAAGGGGCCTCAGGTTAGTTAATGACTAGGAATATCCTATTGGCAAATCTATAATGCACAGATCTCCTATTTAACATCGTACATAGTCAATGTGTACAGTCTCATTGAACTTGCATGCAAGTAAAGTAAATATCTAACTTCCTTTATCAACTTCTGAAATCAGGTTATGCCAATATAATAGCGAGATATTATATTGCTTTTATCTTTGTTAATAGGGGCATCAATTGTAGTTGGTAAAAGTTATGCAGTCTCTTGCTTCTATACTAGTAGTAAACAGTAGGGGCATTTCTCTGTTTTAATGTAACAAAGCAAATGTTGCATATTGTACTCGGCATTCAATCAAGGGTTCTGCATCAAATATGTGCATGTGTATTGGCAAATATGTATGCTTTTGTATTGTTAGTGAATCAAAAGCTCTGATATCGTCATGGAGGTTTATTCTTAGTTTATGTATATGTGCCCTGTTTTGTTGTAAATCTTTGTCTTGGTCATGAACCTACGCTGACTTTGGTATATCGATGCAGTTTGCACTGCCACACCTCATGGGTTGGCATCGGTTGACCAATCAGTCGCCCAGAGGCCTAGGTGGGAGTTCATCAAAGGTGGATCGACAGTCTTTGGAGTTGGAGTGGGATAAATGAAGTCATGCACGTCAAGGAGAAAATTTTCTGCTCTGCCTCAACTTCAACGAAATATTTTGTTAAACATTATACTTCCCGTGATCCTTGTTTGTATCAACTGAAACCTGTATTTGAACGGTGTTGACTGGTGCTATTCTCGGAAACGGGCGTTCTGTACAATATTGTTATTTTCATGATATGCTGATGTGAATCTGTTCGTTGCTGGTTAATTTAGATTGTTTATATTAAATTATTATTATTAACAACTTGTGCCGGCTACGTAAAAAAAAAAAAAAAAGGGAGAATTTGATTGAATTATCACTCTGTTTGGTTTGATCGTTGAATCAATTGATAGATATAATGGTTAGTTGATGGTTGACGATCAGTTAGTAGCTGATATATGTTACTTGGGCTTTATTTGTTAACGTTGTGTAGTGGTAGGTCTTTGTTTTTAATTATTTAAAAAATAATAGAGATTTATTTATATATAAATTTTATATATTATATTTACATAAAATTTTAATTTTTTATTTTTTTATTTTTAATAGTTAAAATTTATTTATATTTATTAAAAATAATTATTTTTTTAAAGAAATCATAATAAATTTTTATTATTAAATATAAAAAATAAATAATTAAAATTTTATATAAATATAGTAAATAAAACTTGTGTGTAATTAAATTTTTCATTTTTAAAAAAATGCAAGATATTAATTTAAATTAATAGAAGTATACAAAAAGTTAAATTAAAATGAATTAAGATTTATAATAAATAAAGTGTTAGGAGAAAAAATCATGCGAAACACTAACAAATGAAGTTTTAATTTCATATAACACTATGAAATTAGTGGCCTTAACGAATTTTTACTTGAGCATATATCTATTTCCTTAGGCCAGCTCAATGGAGGGAGGGGGATGGGGATGGTCTAGTGTTTAAGAGTATAAACTTTTAAATTAGAAATTTTAAATTTTAATTTTAACATACGTAAAGAGATTGGCAAGGTTGATGAAGAAAAAGGCTATTCATCCAACGGAAAAAGGAAAAAAAAAAATGAAACTTAAGCATGTACCAACAAAAGTAGTTTGACACTGGAGACTTTAATCATGCAGTTCGGTCCTTACAATTTGAAAAACTTTAATCATGCAGTTCGGTCCTTACAATTTGAAAAACTTTAATCATGCAGTTCGGTCCTTACAATTTGAAAAACTTTAATCATGCAGTTCGGCCCATAATTTTAACCATCGATGCAGAATGGATTGTCAAAGAGCGAACTTGGAAAGCCCTAACACAAACGAGTCTCCAGGCTTCCGCAATTCAATAAAACAAAGGTTAAATGCCCATTTTGGTCTTTTACCTTTTAGTTTTGGACCAAGCTCGTCCTTAAACTTTGAAAATTATCAAAATTGTCCTTAAAGTTTATTTTTCTGTTACTAACCTGGTCCTTCCGTCAACGGAAGTGCCCAGGTGACAGGTTAACATGCCACGATTTCAATTCTTGAAATTTAAAAAATTACGTGGAAAAACAAATACACGTTAAATGATGACATGGCAATAATATATGAAACACGTCAAATTAATTTCTCAATAAAAAAATGCTTTTTGTA